CCCAGAGGATGGAAACCGTTAAACCAGATAGACATCCACCTCCGTACAAATCAAGGAGACGCCATCCAGAGGGTCGACTCCATCAAAGTCCTGGGCATGCTGATGGAGTCTAGCGGCGCCAACAGCAAATCTATAGCCAAGTTAACTTGGAAAACAAACAGTGCGGTGCAGCTCATACGCAGAGTGGCCAACAAAAGAAATGGGATCAAGGAAGACAACCTCATCAGGTTGATGCATGCGTTTGTTCTAAGCCACTTTACGTACGAGGCAGCAATGCACAACTGGTCAAGAGCAGAGTCCGATACACTGAATGTGCTCCTCAGGAAAGTTATCAAGAAGGTCCTGGGCCTACCCATACATACCAGCACCGAGCGTCTGCTTGAGCTTGGCATTCACAACACGCTCGAAGAAATAGCAGAAGCCTAAGAGAGAGCACAGTTTGCAAGGTTATCTACAACAAGGTCGGGGAGAATGATCCTGCAGGAGCTGGGCCAACACCCAATGGCAATCAGACGCAATTACAATGATATCCCCGACAACATCAGGGAGAATATCGCGGTGTCTCCTATACCAAGAAACATGTATCCAGAACACAACGTCGGAAGAAGAGTAGCGAGGGCCAGGACTATACTTCGTCAAGTCTCAAACGAGGAATGAGGGTTCGTATTTGTTGACGCGGCTTCCTACGCCAATGGGAAAGCGTTTGTGGCAGTGGTGGTCGATGGGGCTGGCCATGTCGTCAACTCAGCGATGGTCAGGACGAAAGACCCAATTATTGCGGAACAGGTGGCCATAGCCTTAGCACTCAAGATGGATAACATTCAAGTCGTCTACAGTGATTCCATGGCAGCACTACGGGCGTTCGCCAAGGGGACGGTCTCTGAACAAACGCTGAGAATACTGCAAGGCAAGAACATAACGCATCATCTTCTGAGTTTGTTCCCAGCTCACCTTGGGCAAATCAACGATTCCCCTCCCAATCTCAATGAAGCAGCACACGAGGTGGCGCGAGAACTCTCCAACCGCGCCTCCCCGGGGATGCGTTCTACCGATGAAGGGGATAACCAGGAAATTCTTACAACATATAACGAGCTCACTAAACATTTCTACCTGTCTAGAAGGATTTTACCTCCACCTCACAAAAATCTAACCCGGCCCCAAGCACTTACATTAAGGCTTTTGCAAACGCGGATGTACCCTACTTTGAAAATGTTACACATCATGTACCCTGACCTATACCCAAGTAATCTTTGTCAACATTGTGGGGAAATAGCTTCATTAGAACACATGCTCTGGCAGTGCGCCAAATTCGCTCATATATCAAACATCACCTCTGCCATATGGGAGGCGGCAATCCGCAGCTCGTCCTTGGCGGATCAGCTCTGGGCTGTTCACCAAGCCCGCGAGGTGGCTGAGGAGCTTGACATCTCAGTCCCCACGTGGGAGCTGCCCGCAACACAGTGATCTTTGTTTTGAAGGACCAAATAAAAGTTTATCCAATCCAATCACGATTGGTGACGCCCAAGGGATGGCTTTCAGCTCTCCCATAGTAGAGTACCGAGTACTCTAAATCGTTAAGCACATTTTTTTAAACATACAGAATACGCTCTCATAAATTAAGCTGCGGTTCTGTACCCCTTAGCCCAAGGGACGGCTTACTGCTCTCCCATAGTTGAGTACCAAATAAGTACTCAAAATCATTAAACATTTTTTCCAAACACAGAATACGCTCTCCCATAGTGGAGCACCAAGTGCTCTAAATCGTTAACTACTTTTTCTAAACACACGCTTTTCATTTGAGACGGCTTTTTTGCTCTCCCATAGTGGAGTACCAAGTACTCAAAAGCGTTAAAGCACTTTTTACTAACACATTTCCTGTTTGCTCACTTGCGTGGGCCGAACACTCACGCCATAATTTTTTGTCAACAGGACCTCATTAGGTGGGAGGTCCACGGGACGGTTTTATGCTCTCCCATAATAAAGCACCAAGTACTCAAAATTGTTAACCACTTTTCCTGAACAAATTTCTTGTAAGTACTGTCGGACTTTTGACGGCCTGTTGGGATGGAAACGTTAAGTAAAATAAAAATAATCAAAAAGAGCTTCGACTATCTTCCCGAAAAGAACCCTGAGGGATTCAAAGCAGCCACTTTGCGCACAGGTGGCGTCACGGGTGCTGCGGTAAGCGCTTGAAGATTCGTTTGAAGCGATGGCTGGCGTAGGTCTTCAGGGTGACACGTAGAGACATGTTTCAACGCATGCGTTAGGCGCGCGTCGCGTTTATCGCGCGTGAAGCGACGAGTCGTCGGTGCAGCGAGCGGTGGTCGCGTAAAGTGTCGTGGGAGAAAGGATAAGGTGGCAGCTGCGGGCGCCGCGGTGAGCGTGCGGCCAGAGAGGGTGATGCCACGCGCACTGCGAGGGGAGCGAAACGTCAACGCAAACCAGCGGCGTGACCTACTTGGCACCGCGCCAACACCTGCGGCACAGGGTGCTTTCATACGGAGGGACAGCGTTATTCTTATAGGCTAGTCAGAGATGCTTTGAATCTAAAAAGAGATTTGCGGCCGGTTGAGTTTTTGTCGATATAACACGCAACAAAGAAGGACACGGTCGTTAAAATGAGAAAAAAAAAGAACTAACTCGCCTTATTCAGGGTCCTTTAGAGCGAATCTCTTAAGAGCACGTTCTTTAGTTGAGCGGAGTCGCCGTTGGCTGGCGTCGGTGTAACCGCCGATAGCACAAACGAGGGTGAAAAGGAGCGTACACGGAGTCTGTCGATGACATGAGCCACGGGCCTCCAACCTCCCTTTCCAGGCTCCATCACGTGCGCTGGACTCTGGGTTTAGGCTCATGCGCATGAAGGGCTGGCAAGTGCCCTGCGCTTGGCTTCACTTATTGTGACCGAACTGTCGAGTTTCGCCTAGATCACAGCATTTGCAACGCACACAGCGTACGTAAAAACGGTGGTGGCGTAGCATTAGAGCGCAAGCCCTTTCTGCGACATGTATTGAATGTTGCATTGCTACAATTATAGGCCAAATGATCAAATGCACTTGGTGTTGCACACAAAGGGAGCATTAGGCAGTCATCGTACTCCTCGGTGAATTTTTGTTTCTTCAGGTTACACCTCGCGCATACAAGCACTTGCGTGCTAATGCAGTGTTGGCCGGTCGCTGGCACAATCTATACGTAAAACACTTCTACAATAAGTGACTCACCTTTGTTTGCAGTTATTCCCGATTGTCGTTAATAGATGCATGACAGTAGTTTATCCCATCCGCAATTGCAAATATTTCATTGGAGAAACTTCATGCTCTCCTATTTACTGCAACTGGCATGCACTTCCGCTTTTATTCAGTTTTTTTTTTCACTGCCGTTTTTACAAGACATTGCGCTTGATACAGCACTAGCTAACGTGGAAGCAAGTGCAGTCTGATGGGTCCGGGAGCACATTCATGCAGAACCTGAACTTTCGTGGCGCCATCAGTATATCCGTGGCCACAGAAACAATCGCCTTCATTTCCATAATTATATTATCAGTTATACTCGGCGCAATATTCACTTCTGTCTCATTATTAAGCCACTTTCACGAAATCACAGGGTGATTTATAGCATGTAAGTTGTTCCTCATTTAGGTAAAACAGTTTATGAAGTACACATCAGATATATGCATGTCCAAATTCGTTAGTATTTAAAAGCAAACAAATATGTTCGTTATAAGACTTTAATTCAGACAGAATGCTGAAGTTGCCATTAAATTTCATTGCTCAGAGTACGAAAAATTACAAAGGCCGCTGTGAGAACACGGGTTCATGAACAAGTACGTAGGGAACGTTGCTTAATTTTGTCATGACGGCCGACTTGAGAAAGTTGGAGAGCGGACAAAAGAAATGTCGTGCGGTCTTTCCCATCCCTTCTCCTCACTTTAGAGTTATGAGCGAAATTCCGAAAACGTCTAGAATATTTCTACCCTTATCTTTTCAAGACGTTTGCTAGCGCATTAGCAGATCTACCCGACATACCTGCATGTAGACGGCAACGGCTACAGAATGCCTTGAGCAGGACAACTGCTTGACGTTTCAGACATCCACTCAAGTCGTTTATCAGAAATGAAATAGCTTCTCTTGTGTTTCTGAGTCGGACTCGAGATGAACCCTTCGCACTGTAGAATGGGTACATCTACAGATCGAGATACTGCCACCTTGCCTCGGACTTTGTCTCATGTTGCATCCGAAATCGCAACTTGAGTTCCTCGCTCTGGCTACCTGATGCCGGCTGCCACGGCTGGAACCTGGAACTTTCACATATTGCATAAAGTGCAGAAAAAAAGAAAGAAAAAACTCTCTATGCATACTTTCAAAAGACTATCTAGATTCCCTGGCCTTATGCAACCAATAAGCGAGGTCACTGATTCCATACTTACGAAAAAAAAAAAAGTGTATTCTCATAGTTGCTCTAATCATTTGCGAAAATGCTTTCATATGGATATGAGATAACACGTACCACCATTTTACAAGTTTTCCGAAGAATAAGTTAAGTGTCAGAATAATAGTGAACTATTTAAATTGATGAAAGTCTCGCGATAATATTTAATGCTGATATTTCATACAACGATGATTTCTACTCATACCAAGTGCATGCATTGTAACCGTTGAGACGCCTGGAATTCTGGGTTGCCACAAAGGCTGTAAGTTAAGGTAATGATTGACATAAACAAACCGAGTCAAGCGGGAAGTAATGTTGTGCGCTTTCAAGTGCAGTATACAGACTTCACTGCAGATGCGTGCCTAAGAATTTTCCGGAAGCGCTTAGATGGGCACCTCGTACATTTGCTCCATAACTGACATTGTCATGCCACAGCTTCACAGTGTCCCTCGTTGTCAGCGTCATCATATTCCCCCTATGCTCTCGAAGACGCCCGAATTTCCCGTTTATTTCCCGCGCCACAGAGCGCCACCCGGGGCTGGATAGTGCACAAGCTGCGCCTTGATGCGAGTGGTCTCCGCGGAGCGGAGCAGCCGTCGATGAGACGTGAGCAGCGACTCCACGCGCAGGGAGGACGAGGATCCCTTCCGGTCCTCCCCCGCCGTCCTCTCGGCGGCTCGCTAGTGCATCGCTGTGATCTGTGCCGCTTGCTCGAACTTCATGGCGGATCGAACAGCGTTGGATTGAGGCGGCAGCTGCGGTGAGTGTCGCAGCGAGACCTTGGACGACCGCGAAGTATCGCCGCACGTGGGAAACGCGCCGGTGAGCGCTGCTTGTCCGCACGCACGAGCGCGCAGAAAGCGATGCACGCGCGAGCCAGTCGCCGCCTTTTGGCGTGCCCGAGGGTTAGGCTTGCTTCGACGCTAGGAATTCCATCGGCTTTCGAAGTGCGCTCGCCCGAGCACGCTGCGGGGTTCGGAGGCGCTACACACGAGTTCGGCTCAGTTTCTCGGGAACGCGCCTTCTGTGAATGACCTCAGGCGTCGAGGAATGCCCTCGGCGAAGTTGTTTCTGCGAGCCGCTAGTGTAGCGTGGGGGAGGCGTCGCGCCGGGCGCCTCGGTAATCCGAAGCCCCATAGTGTACGCCAGCTGCCGCAGCTTAAGCCTCTGCAGTGCCCGCGAGAATAAACAGTCGTGGGGGCGCACGAGAGCAAAGGCGTGGGCGCGCGTGTGGGGCCCCCCGGAAGATGTTCGCCATGGCTTCCAGCAGCAGTGCGTGCTCTGTTGGGGCCGCGCCTCTCCTCTTATCGCAACCGATACCGTGGCCGAAGCCACTATGCGGGGCATTGCCTCTGCCACCTGCGCGTCTTGTCATCGAGTTAGTTATCGCGTAGCGCGTGTTTACCCCTTTTGCGCGCGTTAGAATTCGAACAACCCGAGGTGATCGCGCGTAGGGATGCTCAAATCTCATGAGCTCTCAATCGGTAAGGAAACTCGAAAGTTTACGGCTCTCATGGCTGAAGTGGAGTACGACTTTGACAGACATGATTTGCTTTAGAATCCATAAAGTTTCCGGTTTAACTGGGACCAGTAATGTAACAGGAATTTCTGGGGGGGGGGGGGGTTCAACCATACATCTTGTATGTTCTCCATGTGTGCGTACACACATTATATATATATATATATATATATATATATATATATATATATATATATATATATATATATATATATATATATATATATATATATATATATATATGTGACAGCTAGACTCTAGGCCGAAACGTCGAAATAAACCACGTTGTGGCCGCTCACGGAGGATCTACTTGACTATATATATATATATATATATATATATATATATATATATATATATATATATATATATATATATATATATATATATATACACACGCACACATTCAATCGGAGGATTCCGAAAAAGGCTGGTCCACCAGCTGAAGCTGTAAGGATTAAATAAATAAATTATTGTTTTGTTTTCTATACTGCATATATATATATAATGCAGGCAAAAAAAAAAACTGCTTGGTTTGGACCTCTCTTCCTGCCATGGGCCTGAACGGGATGAGCTTTAACACGAAATGCATGGCCTAATTAAGAAATCACTGTGTAGTAATATGTGTGAGGGGTGGTGCCATTGAGCGGAAGAGCTTGTCTTGTGATTGCAGTCCGCGTAGGTTAGGGGCACCTCAAGTCCTGTTCGAATACAAATGTGGATCACTGTTGCGTGAAGTGCATTGCTTTAGTAGGTTTGCGATAGCCCTTGTATTTCGATGCATGTTGATGAGCATTCTTGCAGATGAAGGGGCTGTGTCGGTGAAGGTAACCCATCATGACATAGCTGATGTTGAGAACAGGAGATGTGGTTGGTGGTTTTGGTAGGTGGCAGGGGATTGACAAACATTTTCTGGTGTGAAGGAGTTCACATTGACATACCTTCTGAGAGCAACCCACCTCTTTCGACTGCATGCCTTTAGAGGTGTTACTTCATGAGGCTGAGACATCAAGCCTGCACACTGACACGTACTGTACTCTAATCTGCATGTCAACTATCTTTGCCCTAATACTACACACAGTTTAGATAGACACAGCAGTACTCATTGTGCACAATTGAATTCCAATCCTTATTGCATATCAAGTGAATTCCAATCCTTATTGCATATCAAGTCAACTCTAATTTCTGTTAAATATGCTGATGAAGTATCGGTAATTTTGGGATATTAAAATAATGTGACTGCTGATCGAAATTCTGTCTCCCAAGAAAGCTGCTTGTTTTTATACCTCGTTGTACTGGGCCATTTTCGGCTCCATTTCAAAGTTATCGTAGATTTGCGTGCCGTCTTTGTTTGATGTGAGGCTGTGTACAGCGCAAGTTGGCAGTTGTAAGTTTTGTTTAAACTGTGTGCTGAATCCATGTCAGGACAGTTCAGCTTGTGTGTCATACCCATTGAACATCTGTGGCTAATGACAAGTGTGCTTGTGGCCGTCACAGCGCAGTTGCATATCCAGTCTGAACTACTTGCCTAAACAGCAGCCAATTTCCTGGCTTTTGTGTTTGAAGAAAAATAGGAAAAAGAAGCATTTCATTTTTGTTTTTTTCTGGTATAAACTTTCAAACACTTCGTATTGGACAAATTGAAAGAAAAAGCAAATACAAAAGAGTGCATTGAGATGGTAAGGTTGCGGAATTCAAGGTGAACAGAAAAGCATAAATAAAAAAAATATAAATAATTGATGTAGTTTCAGTCGGCATTCGTAAACATTACAGGTCAGAATCATTCTCACTATCTTATTGTCTCTGCATCATCACAAGGCTTTATAGACAATTTGACGCATGAGTTTGCGTGCCACTATACAGGGCTGTTGACACTTCTTGTTTGTATCTTTATAACTAATCGAATGGTGCTACGGCGCACACACACACACATGAAAATGGTTGGGTTGGTGAATATGGTGCTTTGTGGCCTTAAAATTCGTGCTGCAAATACAGAAACGGAAAAAAAACCTCGCCTTAACAGCCCAAGAGGACGGCACTTATATGTCGTAGATGAGACAGAGCTGTACAGTGGCGTATTGATAATTTTCATAATCCTTGTAAATAGGTAATCAAGCGAGAAAACAATTTTCTCGTATTAGTGATTTATACTTTCCCAATATCAAAAGCACCAGTCTTACCACAATAAGGCAGTTGGTAAGGGTGAAAATGCTCAAAAATAAAATTTATATGGCAATGCACCTATGAAGCTCCATGCGACGTCACAGATTTGAAAGATTTCCAGGAGGGCCTGCATAATTCCTGCCTGCTAAAAAGGGGTTTCTTGTGGTCTAAGGGAACTAGAGATATAGCACAGCAAGGTTTAGGAAATTTTACTGCATCCACCGTGGCCGAAATGGGTAAAAAAGAGACACACGAAGCCTCTGATGTCGCACTCATCGTCAGATGCTGGTTTTGTTGTGAAATTCAAGATTAAAACTCTCGTGAGAACTGAAATTTGAGGCAAGTGTGTTAGACTGCATTCTGAAGCAGGTTGCGCAAAACTGTGAAGACGCAAGCAAAGAGATGAGACGACCGCTATCTCGCCTCATCCTAAACTTTTCTCGCGACGAAATCTCATGTATACACATGTTGCAATCTTTGAGGTTTTAGCTTTTCTAACTGCATCGCTGTTTGTGTGTGTGGTTTTTGTTTTAAAGAGCCAATTAGGACGTCCTGGCATTTCATTATATCTCATCGTTGTGAGAGTGGGATGAGATGTTCTTTCTTGGGTGACAATGTGGTTCTTTGCTAGGCTGATAGATACACATGGATTCTGGGAATGAACTTTAGTTAGAACTTAGCGCTTGTCTGTTGTCTCTTTGTACCTCGCTTGGGTCTTCGTGTGCTACCTGCTCAAGAATGCATTGAAACTCCTGACCTTCATTCTCACTCCTGTTGCCTGTTATGGCAATCAATGATATTGAAATTTTCAAAGAAGTGTGTATTATTTAATTTTACTGTGTAATTTACTTTTGTGTGCCATCAAACGCTTGTTAGTAACTCCAAAATCTCCAGATGTGCCTGGGACACTCCCAAGGAAAAATTTGTCAGGCGTATCCCAAAAAACAGCGTTAACCATACTGCAACGAAGAAGATAACAGCAGCAAAGAGCAGCGGCTCTAAAATATGCTGGTGTGGAGGCATAGGCATGTGCAGGGTTCCCCTTTATGGGGTGGGGGTAAAGGTTTGTTGCAGCACCCCCCCCCCTCCATCTATCATGCGAATGTATGGGGCTGACTATGAACCCCCCCCCCCCCTTCTCGCTCCCCTTCTTGTTATGTCGATGTATGGGGATGGCTCTGCGCCAATCTCTCGCTCACCCCTCCCCCTTCCACCCATGCTTCTTATTGCATACGCTGATGTGTGGAGAGAATTACAAGCAGCTTTTCCAAAAGGCTGGGGCACCCTTGCCTCTTCTCACTGATTTAGGGGGGGGGGAATAGAATGCCTCTCGTTTCGCCTTTCATCTATGCAGTGTTGTTGCCGTGGTTGTGTGTGGCCTTTGTTATTTACATTTCGGCGTGTTATCTTTAATCTCAACGCGGCCCTTGTGATAACACACAGACGCGCGATGGTTTTGCGGTGTAGTAGTGCACGCCTACCATTCTGCTGCTTTTTTGGAACGGTGTGACATAAACAATGCTTTTGTGCAATCAAAGTGTTGTACACACACAAGCTTATTTCAGTTATCGCATTTTCACTTGCACTATAGAATGTCAACCTCTCCACAGTACCTCGGTGTCGTGCGATGAAGCATGCTTACAGTGGGAATCAGCCTTGAGGTCGCATGGAATATGGCACATTTTAACCTGATAGCATTAAAGAGCTCATTACGTCGAAATTCCAGCAGTCACCATTGTTCGTGGTGAGGAAAAAATCAGTGTTAATTGTGACCGCAAAAATGAGAAAGGTGCAATAAAGTAGATGCGACAAATCTTTGGTTCAAGTGAAAATTGAACTGAAGATATTTGTGTACCAAGCAAGCGTTCTACCACAGAATCATGCCATTCCTTAAAATGGCTTAAACAACACTGATTGATTGATTGATATGTGGGGTTTAACGCTCCAAATTCACCATATGATTATGAGAGACGCTGTAGTGGAGGGCTCTGGCAATTTCGACCATCTGGGGTATTTTAATGTGCACCCAAATCTCAGCATACAGGCCTACAACTATTTCGCCTCCATTGAATCGAAAA